CAACCCCACCACCATCACCACCACCTTTCCCCACCCGTGGCATCAAAGAGTACGAACCCTTTATGGGCGCATGTACACCCCCATTTACAACTATCTCCCCCAACCAGCGAACCAGGTTGAAGATTTTGATGAGGGGCCCCGTCGTTCAACATGAAGGTTCTAGCCAATAAAAGAGGGTTTTGGCAACGCAGAGGTTATGGGGGATCCCGCTCTCCGCTGCCCTTTATTCCCCATCTAGACTGGTTTAAGCACGGTCTGCACGGGGCTTCATTCTGCCCCTTTCTTACCGTGGGGTGCACATCTTATCACTGACTATGTCAATTGCTGTTCTAAATTGGTGAAGATAATATAATCAAACTTTTTTCTCGTTTTATTTTGCTCCCTTACACCCGGGATAAACGGCCATTTGGAATCCTGGGTTTAATAACCACCATCACCCTCATCATCACCACCCCACCACCACCACCCACTATCACCATCACCCCACATCACCTTCACCATCATACCACCATCACGCCACCATCACCACCATCACACCTACCCCACTACCACACCACCATCATCACCTCACCCCATCACTCCAAAACCCCCATCACCACCACCCCTATCACCCCCACCAACACCCCCCACCACCACTACCCCTCGCCACCACCATACCACCACCACCATCACCCCCCCACTGGGTCCCCCTTTTCTATAACCGGGGTTTAAACCCGGAGAGAGCCGGGGGGCAACGCCCCCGCGCCCTCTGAGACCAGGGGTCCTGTGGACAAGCCTATCCCAGGCGTTGCTGCTGGTCACGCAAACCAACATCGAGCCAGCCCGGCTGATCCGGAACGACTTTAGGTGCTTGTCCAGTGCCAGCTTGAAGACTGCCAGGGGTCTGTTGGTAATCCCCCTTATGTGTGCTGGGAGCAGTTGAACAGTCTCGGGCCCCTGACACTTATTGTATGGTCTCTTAACGTGCTAGTGACACCCCTGCTTTTCATTGGGGGGATGGTGCATCGTCTGCCAAGTCTTTTGCTTTCGTAGTGGGTGATTTTCGTGTGCAAGTTCGGTACTAGTCCCTCTAGGATTTTCCAGGTGTATATAATCATGTATCTCTCCCTCCTGCTTTTCCAGGGAATACAGGTTTAGGAACCTCAAGCGCTCCCAATAATTGAGGTGTTTTATCTCCGTTATGCGCGCCGTGAAAGTTCTCTGTACATTTTCTAGGTCGGCAATTTCACCTGCCTTGAAAGGTGCTGTTAGTGTGCAGCAATATTCCAGCCTAGATAGAACAAGTGACCTGAAGAGTGTCATCATGGGCTTGGCCTCCCTAGTTTTGAAGGTTCTCATTATCCATCCTGTCATTTTTCTAGCAGATGCGATTGATACAGTGTTATGGTCCTTGAAGGTGAGATCCTCCGACATGATCACTCCCAGGTCTTTGACGTTGGTGTTTCGCTCATTTTGTGGCCAGAATTTGTTTTGTACTCTGATGAAGATTTAATTTCCTCATGTTTACCATATCTGAGTAATTGAAATTTCTCATCGTTGAACTTCATATTGTTTTCTGCAGCCCACTGAAAGATTTGGTTGATGTCTGCCTGGAGCTTTGCAGTGTCTGCAATGGAAGACACTGTCATGCAGATTCGGGTGTCATCTGCAAAGGAAGACACGGTGCTGTGGCTGACATCCTTGTCTATGTCGGATATAAGGATGAGGAACAAGATGGGAGCGAGTACTGTGCCTTGTGGAACAGAGCTTTTCACCGTAGCTGCCTCGGACTTTACTCTGTTGACGACTACTCTCTGTGTTCTGTTAGTGAGGAAATTATAGATCCATCGACCGACTTTTCCTGTTATTCCTTTAGCACGCATTTTGTGCGCTATTACGCCATGGTCACACTTGTCGAAGGCTTTTGCAAAGTCTGTATATATTACATCTGCATTCTTTTTGTCTTCTAGTGCATTTAGGACCTTGTCGTAGTGGTCCAATAGTTGAGACAGACAGGAGCGACCTGTTCTAAACCCATGTTGCCCTGGGTTGTGTAACTGATGGGTTTCTAGATGCGTGGTGATCTTGCTTCTTAGGACCCTTTCAAAGATTTTATGATATGGGATGTTAGTGCTATTGGTCTGTAGTTCTTTGCTGTTGCTTTACTGCCCCCTTTGTGGAGTGGGGCTATGTCTGTTGTTTTTAGTAACTGTGGGACGACCCCCGTGTCCATGCTCCCTCTCCATAGGATGGAAAAGGCTCGTGATAGGGGCTTCTTTGCAGTTCTTGATGAACACAGAGTTCCATGAGTCTGGCCCTGGGGCAGAGTGCATGGGCATGTCATTTATCGCCTGTTCGAAGTCATTTGGCGTCAGGATAACATCGGATAGGCTTGTGTTAATCAAATTTTGTGGCTCTCTCATAAAAAATTCATTTTGATCTTCGACTCTCAGTCTGGTTAGCGGCTTGCTAAAAAACTGAGTCATATTGGGACTTGAGTAGCTCACTCATTTCCTTGTTGTCATCTGTGTAGGACCCATCTTGTTTAAGTAGGGGCCCAATACTGGACGTTGTTCTCGATTTTGATTTGGCATAGGAGAAGAAATACTTTGGGTTTCTTTCGATTTCATTTATGGCTTTTAGTTCTTCCCGCGATTCCTGACTCCTAAAGGATTCTTTTAGCTTAAGTTCGATGCTTGCTATTTCTCTGACCAGTGTCTCCCTACGCATTTCAGATATATTGACCTCTTTTAGCCGCTCTGTTATTCTTTTCCGTCGCCTGTAAAGGGAGCGCCTGTCTCTTTCTGTTTTACATCTACTCCTCCTTTTTCTTAGAGGAATAAGCCTTGTGCATACATCGAGTGCTACCGAGTTAATCTGTTCTAGGCATAAGTTGGGGTCTGTGTTGCTTAGTATATCTTCCCAGCTTATATCGGTTAGGACTTGGTTTACTTGGTCCCACTTTATGTTTTTGTTATTGAAGTTGAATTTGGTGAATGCTCCCTCGTGACTAATCTCATTATGTCGGTCTGGGGCTCCGCGCATACATGACTGAACCTCAATTATGTTGTGATCTGAGTATATTGTTTTTGATATGGTGATATTTCTTATTAGATCATCATTGTTAGTGAAGATGAGGTCTAGTGTATTCTCCAGTCTAGTAGGCTCTATTATTTGCTGGTTTAAATTGAATTTTGTGCAGAGATTTAAAAGCTCGCGTGAGTGTGAGTTTTCATCAGAGCTGCCTCCTGGTGTTATTACTGCAACAATATTATTTGCTATATTCCTCCATTTTAGGTGCCTTAAGTTGAAATCCCCCAGGAGCAAGATGTTGGGTGCAGGAGCTGGAAGGTTTTCCAGACAGTGGTCAATTTTTAACAGCTGTTCCTGGAATTGCTGGGATGTTGCATCCGGAGGCTTGTAGACTATCACAATGACTAGGTTTTGGTTCTCGACCTTTACTGCTAAAACTTCCACTACATCATTTGAGGCATTTAGCAGTTCTGTGCAAACAAGTGACTCTGCAATGTACAGGCCAACCCCCCCCTTTTGCCTGTTCACTCTGTCACATCTGTATAGGTTGTAACCTGGGATCCATATTTCGTTGTCCAAGTGATCCTTTATGTGGGTCTCAGTGAAGCCGCGAACATTGCCTTTGCCTCTGCAAGCAGTCCACGGATGAAAGGTATTTTGTTGTTTGTTGCTGGCTTTAGACCCTGTATATTTGCAAAGAAGAATGTTATCGGACTGGTGGTATTGTTGGTACTGGGGGGGGATTTTTTTTCCGGCATTAGTATCTGTATCTGTTGGTTTGGAGTGGAGGCCATCGACTGTGGTTCCACTCCAGGAATGACTGGATTTGGTGTACGATTTCTGCCATTTCCTGCCAGTTTTTTTTTCCTTCCTGGCACTAAAAAACCTCTCCCTCTTGAGTGGCTGTGGCTACCCAGGTTTTCCCATGGCCTGGATGTTTTGTATCTTTTTGTCCCCTTTAGATGGTATGCCTGGCAATTTAAGTTATAGCACAGTCTTTCCTGTACTGAAGAGGTACACAGTTCAGGGTGAAAAAGCTTACAGGAAGGGAGTTTGCATTTTCCTGTTGTCATATGGGCATGGCATTTCCTAGGGTGGTCATAGTTGCACGTCCCATCTGTTTTTCCAGATTTCCCAGTGGCAAACTATAATATTTTATTCAAATTCAAATTCAAAGTTTATTCTCTATAAGGATTACAATGCTGAGTTTACAGAAATTTGGTTATTGTTTGGTTTACATGTAGTAAAATTGTGATTACAGAGTGTACCACTAGAACACCTAGCATGACTAGGCATTTCGGGCATTTTTTTAGGATGTGTTCTCTATTTTTTTGTGAGCGCTTACCGAGCAGAGGAAGATAACAGTGATGACTGAGAACTGCAGTGAACAGGTCTTCATGTAACTAAGACAACAGGTCATCATGTAACTAAGACAACAGGTCATTATGTAACTAAGACAACAGGTCATTATGTAACTAAGACAACAGGTCATTATGTAACTAAGACAACAAATAATTTTAACACAAGTATTGAAAATGGGTTGGGCAAATAATTTTGTTAGTTGGTTTGGGTTTGAGAAGAACCTGCCTAATATGTGGCAGTAGGCCTGCTGCAGTGTTCCTCCTTGTGTTCTGAACTACAGATTAAAAACTATGTTGTGAATCTACAGGTTAATATTAACAATATTTTTGTTGCAGTGTTAGTCATATGTTGGAAACAATCACAAGATATAACAGTTTTATGTATCTTCTATGTATCGCGAGTGTCGACTACGCAAAATTGAAACTCAAAAAACCGAATTAATTTTTGAAAGAATCAGGTAAATTTTAAAAGAAAATTGAAATATAAATACAATAAATTACTTTGAATTGTTATTTAAATTAATCGAATATCAGATCAAATATATGGCATAGTTGTTGCATCCACTAGTATTATTAATTTATTGTTAATATTATAATAGTAAGTATGTGAGGATAATCAAAACATACTAGGAAGTCACAGCTGTACTTCATATTTTTGAAAAGTCCTCCAACCAGAGCAGCAAGATGAATGATGTGAGTTGGTCGGTACTTCTCAAAAACAGCGCGAGTTTCAGCTTCACTCCTGTTAAAAAAAAAAAAAATATTAGATAAATCACACATAAGTTTGGAGCTTCAGTGTCCATGTGAATATCGCGACACTTAATGCCAGGTGTAGAAAAATTAGCTATAACAGAAGGCATTGGATCAGTGTTACAACCTGCCCCTTCATTCCCACACTACCGTGTGGACAGCTCGTTGAGTCCACTGTTCACCATAAGTGTGTTCAGTTTTTCCTCGATACAGGTTCGGTGGTTAATATCGTTCGTTCCACTCTCTTCCGTGACATTGGCCTTCACACGGCCATGTTGACGGAGCCGTCTGTCATTCAGATCTTGAGAGGAGTCTCAGGTAGTACTCTGACGTTAGAATTTGCTGTCCGGGGTCACAAGCTGTCCACAAAATTCTTAGTTGTTGATGATATTGTTTTTCCTTGTGACCTACTTATCGGGTTTAAGACCATGGCAGACCTAAGGATCCACTTAGATCCAACTGAGTGAAAAGCAGATTTCAATGGAGTGGATGTGTCCTTCTGGGGCGTGTGCTTAGGATCCACTACGTGCTACTCTGTCTCGGAGTCTGCAGTGTCTGGAATCGTTGGAAACCGATGGTTTCCGTAGCACATTCTCCCCGAGTTCGATCTCTTGTCCTGATCAACCTCGTAAGAGAACTCGTTGCTCGTCACCTCCTGGTCATCAGCGCTTAGTTACCAGTGAAACCCAGTCTGGGGACGCCCAGTCTAACCTTCACTCTAGCTCTAGCGCTGTTGTAGAGAACAGCAGTTGTCAAGCCACAGTCTCCCTGTCGGCAGGCGACTGTCTGACTCGTGTCATGGCATCAACGAGCAGAGTTACCGCTTGTACAAAGTATGACATCACTTTGTCAGCTAACTCACTCACTCCTGTTATGGTGTACGTGAGTAGAGCTTTTGCAGGAGATCATGTGCTGGTTGACAACGACATGTGCCGAGTCAAGGGCCTCTCCCTTGAACCGTCCTTGCACACAGTGCAACGTGGTAAGTTGCAAGTCCTTGTTGCCAACATGCACAGTCGAGAATTTCCCCTGTGGAAGGATACCTCACTTATCGATCTTGTCAGATTCCCTCTCCCGGTGAGAGTGGAGGGTGAAGTCCCAGCTGACCTCGTAAGTGAAGTTCTCCCAGGCGAGTCTGCTGCTGACTCTTCTGACACCCGGCCAGTGCAGGATGATGATCTAGCTATGACAGACTACCCTGAAGAGGTCCCAGAACTTCTCCAGGTTCTCAATTGTGCACGTTCTGCAGTAGCGCTAGATGGTGAGTCGATGGCTTCGACCCCACTGATCTCTCACCGTATTCCGCTTGACAAAGGTACTAAACCCATTTATGTACCTGTGTATCGTCTGCTGCATGTTCAAAGAGTCTTCGCTGAAGAACTCATTACAAGGATGCTCCACGATGGAGTTATTGAGGAGTCCAATTCCCCGTGGAATGCTCCTCTCATTCTGGTTCCCAAGAAAGACGGAACCTGGCGTCCTGTTATCGATTACAGGAAACTGAATGCATGTACAATCCCAGACCGATTTCAGTTGTGAGTTCTGAACGACCTGCTGCAGAACATCGGTGATAATAAGGTCTTTTCGACTCTTGATCTTCTTCATGGGTTTTGGCAGATCCCCCTCGATGACCAGAGCAAAGAGTTGACAGCTTTCTCTATGCCAACTGGCCATTACCAGTTCAGGAGGATGCCCTTCGGATTGCGAGGAAGCCCATTCACGTTCAGTCGTTTGATGACAATTTTCCGTACTCTCCTAGGTGGCACTGTTACACCCTTTTGTTCATTTTAAGTACTGTTTCTTATCACAATGGTATACTTTTGTTATTTTTGCTATTTCATTTAATATTATGTTCAGGAGTAATTCCATTAGTAGCTAAAATGGATTTACTTGACTTTATAATATTATCTGGTCGTATTACTTAGCTTTGTATTTAGGTAGGTCGTTTAATTAGTGTCAACTGCTGGTGACCTGGCCAAGCACCAGTAGGTGTTTCGAGCTGCTCAACCCCGGTTCCGACCGAGACAAAGTGGGCTGGTAAAGCCTCACAGAGTTCAGTTCATACCTTCCTTTGGACCAGGAAGGGTCGAGGGAAGTATCCACCTCTAAACCACCTTTCGCCTCCCTAGAAAATCCCAGGAATTTTCGGGAGCCTACTGCTAAGACTTATCTCGGTTGGAGAAGGCGGTTGAGAAGCTCTTAGAGAAAGTGAAGCCAAGTGAGCAAGCCTCTGTAGTGTATGAGGACTTATTGTAAAGTGAACCCTATCATAAGAAATCTATTAATGTGTTAGAGTTTTTAGGCAACGCCTGTGCATGTGCCTGTACTAATATTTCGTGACTCGCTCAGAGCCATTTGTAAATACTAAACCCAGTACTGTGTTTTAATGAGGAATGGTAAAAGTATTCTACTCATAGTGCAAAATATGAGAAGGTGAATTTAAGTGATTATTATGATTATTAATAAATTAAATAGAAACTAAGAAAATTCCTTTTCCTCTGAAGTGAGTACCTAGACGTACTAAGTTTTTGTTACGAAAAGCACTATAACCCAGGAACCAACTGACAATGTTCGTAACAAAGTGGGGGCCTGTCCAGGATTCGCTCTCTGATCCAAGGGGCTGGAGGAAATATCAGCCCTAGGAAGTAAGTGCCAATCCCATGAAAGTGAGCTGCTGTTCGGGTACCCATAAAATTAACTATGGAGGCTCAAATACAACAGTTAATATTTGAGTTAACCTTGGAAGATCTGAAGTCTTTAAAACTTCAGAAGTGCTGGCAAATTGCCGTACGCCTAGGAGTGAAGTATAACAAATATTACACCGCCGAGACCACTCGATCTATTTTGAGTAACATGCTGTTTCCGGAACAAGGGGAGGTGGATGACATTGACGATACTGATGAGGCAAGTCTAATATTTCAATTTGAACACTTGGACCGACCGCTTGGAGCACAAGGACTTGATCTTGGTGGCCTTCCAACTTCCCTACCCTCTGGTGATGTGGCTGAGCCAGAATCAAAGGGAGCTGCTGGTGAGCGGACATCTCTGGGAGAGGTGCCTGAAATTGGGGCATCTAATCGCCCAGTTTCCGACCCTGGTTCACAAGAAGCACCCAGCGCAGGTGCTCGACCCAAGGAAAGACGGGAAAACTTGTATCCTCCAACTTCTCCGCTACCGATTGGGCCCATATCACAGAGCCAGTTCGAAAGAACGGAGCGCCTTATTACTTTACAAATGGCCCAAATAGAAGCCCAAAGGAGGCTGAATGCAGAAGAGTTCGAGAGGGACACCATACTCTACGAACGTCAGCGGCAAAGGGAAGGAGTTGTGAGGCCCGAGGCCCCCAGAAATATTTTCAACATTCATAAAGCAGCATCTTTGGTCCCCAAAAGTTTTGCGAGTCTGATCTGGACACGTACTTCGATACGTTCGAAAATCAGGCTCGAGCTATGCAGTGACCCCAAAATTTCTGGGCTGTCTTGTTGCATACGACGCTGACTGGTAAAGCTCGAGAATGTACCGCGGCTTTGCCTTACGAAAAGTACATACAATATGACTCCGTCAAAAAGGTCATACTGGAGACCTATGATCTACTCCCTTTGAGCTACCAGCAAGCCTTCCGTACTCTGCAAAGGTTACCAGGGCAAACTTGGGTGGACTTCGCCAGGCAGAAGGTAGCTTTCGAGAGGTGGCAAAGAGCCTCACAAAGCAACACCGTAAGCAGCTTAACCCAATTAATACTACAAGAGGACTTCTATAATTCTATATCTGGAGATTTGCGGAAGTTCCTGATCGACAGTCCAACACCTGATTGTGATGGAGACCGCTGCACTGGCCCGATCGCTACGAGATCTCCAGCCAGCTGATCCGTGATAGAACATCCAGAGAAGAAGCAGTAAAATTGGGCCAGAAGGTTCGACCAGTTAAGTCAAGAACAGAACCTCGCCAAAAGTTTCCTTCAGAAGCAGTGACCTCTCGAACCCTGGATAAGCCATGCAATGGTGACCGGTTTCAACCACGACAGAACCAGGAGGTGTATAAAGTCAGGAAGAATTTGTCCTGTTCATATTGCCAAAAGAGAGGTCATGTGAGAAACCAATGTTATCAGCTGGAAAGGGATAGGAAATATAAGTATCGAGAAGGGTGCTCCTGTGCAGATGGTGTCTTCAGTAGCCCACACGCAGGGATGTTTACAGGCGGATCTAGAGCCGGCAGGACCGAAGACTGCTTCACTGAGATGACCAGAGACGAGGGCCATCTCGGGGCAAGAAATTGAAAAGGCAATGAGCCCATATTTTTCAAAAGGAAAAGCTGGTATTGACGAGTGCCAAGTGGTGCCTGTTAAAACCTATAGGGATACGGGGAGTTACTTGACATTGTTAAAAAAGGGAATCCTCTCTTTGTTTGACCGCACTTATACGAAGATAGATGCACTTCTGGAGGCTTATGGAGGAGCCGTTTCTAGAGTTCCCCTCCATAGGATATACCTAGACCTGGGTTGCTATAAAGGATATGCGACTGTCGGTATATCAGATGAAGTATTTCCTATTAAGTCTGCTGACCTACTGATAGGAAATGACCTAAGCTGCGAAGGAATCAAGAAAGAACCTCTGGTGATAGAAAATACCTCGGGAGAGGATTACGTGATTGAGGCTCATAGGAAGGACCTATCATTATTTCCGCTGGGAGTTGTCACTAGTCCATGGCAACGACCAGGTTAACTCCTGAATCAACAGAGGAGGAAGAGGACAAAGCTGATCTGGGTTTGAACCTATTGTTTAGTGCGACCCACTGGCCCAATGATGCGACGTCTGTGTCTGCAGGGCTAGAATCAACTTTAGATTCTTTAGGTGCTAAAAAGTTTAGACCTGAAGATCTAATCCAAGCACAGATGGAAGACCCCTCGTGGAGAAAGTAAGAAAGCTGTTGATAACGGAAGAAGAGGCCGAGAAACTAGAGGACTGTGTTTATTCTAGTAGGGGTATACTTATG